ACCACATACAGTAAATTCCCCCGAGTTACCTGCTTTAAGTGTCAGTAGTAATAAGAGTTAATAAAGATTACATGCTTTATTTGTTCAATGTGTTAGTCATATGATAGTATTGGTTACATTACTCTACCTCTCAAAGTTATTTAAAAACAAAAACAAAAATTGAAAAAAACTCATAAGTGAGTTACAATACTGCAAGTCAAAATTAATTTCATATTTCCAAATTACAATAATCACAAGGTGGACAAGTTATTCGGCCACAGTCTGGTACACGAGGTCAGAAACACCACCTTCACTTCACTTCTACATGGTGAAGTGTCATTTATCCAGGTTATGTCACCAGCTGATGGTCTCTGTGTACGAGGTGACGACCCCAGTGTAGAAAATACATATTGATGTGTACTTTCTCGAGTAGGCTACACAAACAATAAACTGTAATGTGTAGTACAGTACAGGGTGATTCACTAGCTGGTAGTCCCGAAGTTTGGGTGATAGAACCCTAATTAATGAACTGAAATCCATATTAGCGAATGTTTGCTGTAGCTTGTCTTCTTGACTGGCTTCAATCTACCAGTGAATGTTTGCGTCATCAACAGCACGAGACTTGAGAAAACTTCACCTTTAAATTGGATACCAGCGAGTGAACCACACTGCATAATGCATCTTGGACAATTAGTACTCCATCGAGGTGGTGTGGGTGTAGCAAACCAAATAACTCGCTAACATATGGAGAAAATACCTGTACTTGGTCACTGGTCCTTGAGCATTAGGAAAATATTATAAATAACGGTCATCTTGAATAACTGTTCTTTAATGTTGGACAAGAATATCCTAAACATGGGTTTGAAAGTGTGTGTGTCTGTGTGTGTGTCTGTGTGTGTGTGTGTGTGTGTGTGTGTGTGTGTGTCTGTGTGTGTGTGTCTGTGTGTGTGTGTGTCACATATTAGCCATCACATTATAGACGGCCTCCACTAGGTCAGGCAGGCCAGGGTCTTGTAGCACCGCTCTCACCAGCTGCTCCAGATGTCTACCATCTCTTAAGCTCTCAGTGTTAAGGATATTGCTTAAACTGTCTGTAGGACTTGGGACAACAGTGTGGCCTGCACTACCTAGGGCAAGGGTGTGGCCTGCACTACCTAGGGCAAGGGTGTGGCCTGCACTTCCTGGGGTAAGGGTGTGGCCTGCACTACCTGGGGCAAGGGTGTGGCCTGCACTACCTGGGGTAAGGGTGTGGGCCTGCACTACCTGGGAAGGGTGTGGCCTGCACTACCTGGGTGTGGCCTGCACTACCTGGGGGTGTGAGGGGTGGGTGTGGCCTGCACTACCTGGGGCAAGGGTGTGGGCCTGCACTACCTGGGGGCAACTACCTGGGGTGTGGCCTGCACTACCTGGGGGTGTGGCCTGCACTACCTGGGTGTGGCCTGCACTACCTGGGGCAAGGGTGTGGGGGGCAAACACCTGGGGCAAGGGTGTGGCCTGCACTACCTGGGGGGGTGTGGCCTGCACCCTGGGGTAAGGGTGTGGCCTGCACCTACCTGGGGTGGCCTGCACTACCTGGGGCAAGGGTGTGGCCTGCACTACCTGGGCAAGGGTGTGGCCTGCACTACCTGGGGTGGCCTGCAAAAGGGTGTGGCCTGCACTACCTGGGCAAGGGTGTGGCCTGCACCTGGGGTGTGGCCTGCACTACCTGGCAAGGGTGTGGCCTGCACTACCTGGGGCAAGGTGTGGCCTGCACCCTTAAGGGTGTGGCCTGCACTACCTAGGGCAAGGGTGTGGCCTGCACTACTTGGGACAAGGGTATGGTGGGGGTGTGGCCTGCACTACCTGGGACAAGGATGTGGCCTGTACTACCAGGATCAAGGGTGTGGTCTGCACTACCTGGGGGATGTGGCCTGTACTACCTGGATAAGGGTGTGGCCGGCAAAGGGTGTGGCCTGCACTACCTGAGAGGGTGTGGCCTGCACCTGGACAAGGGTGTGGCCTGCACTACCCGAAACGAGGGTGTGGCCTGCACTACGTAGGGTAAGGTGTGGCCGGCACTGCCTTTGGTAAGGGTGTGGCCTGCACTACCTGAAACGAGGGTGTGGCCTGCACTACTTGAAACAAGGGTGTGGCCTGCACTACCTAGGGCAAGGGTGTGGCCTGCACTACTTGGGACAAGGGTATGACCTGTACTACCAGGATCAAGGGTGTGGCCTGCACTACCTGGGACAAGGATGTGGCTTGTACTACCTAGATAAGGGTGTGGCCGGCACTGCCTTTGGTAAGGGTGTGGCCTGCACTACCTGAAACGAGGGTGTGGCCTGCACTACCTAGGGTAAGGGTGTTGCATGCACTCTCTGTGACAAGGGTGTGGCCTACACTCTCTGGGGCAAGAGTGTGGCTTACATCCTCTGTGACAAGGATGTGGTCTGCATTGTCTTGGATGAAGGTGTTTCTTACATTGTTTGGTTCAGTATCAGCGACCATCTCTAAGTCTGGAAAAGGATCTACTCATCACTACACAAAAATATTATGAAATCACATTAAAAAAATTGAGGTCATGTAAACAATTAATTCGACTGGCGAGCTGGACATTTGAGATCAACTAGAGCTTTGTTTTAACTTATGTAAATTAAATATGGACAAGAGGGAGACCAACAAAGATAAAAATATAGTATATCAACAAAAGCAGACACAAGACCTGTCCACGTTACCTTCAGTGTCGAGGTCGTATTCTGGGCTGTTCGGTGTGGTGAGCTTGGCCTTCTTCCCTCCGTCAGGTGGGTGTTCGTCCCTTCACCACCACCACACCGCCTTCGTTCACTCCTATGTGGGCATTAGGGAGGCTTTGAGACTGGAGTCCTACACAGAAGGCACCGTCGTCGGAGAGAGAGTAAGGGTGTAGGATGGGAGTGGCAGGGTCAATAAAGGAGTTTAGAGCGCGGGAGCAGGAGTTACAGTTGTTCTCTGCTGCTGCACCACCACAGAACTTCACCCTCCACTTGCGTACTGCATCCTGCGGGAACATGGCCCGTGTACACTTAATTTTACATGTTTATTTCACAAGGCATTAGAGCTAATTAGAGAAATACAGTGAGGTAGCCTCATTTGGGTACAGAATTTTGACAATTTTCACATCTAATGAATGACAGTGAGACATCCTCTGTGACATAAAAATGTTTAATTTTGTCACTGCATTTAGCTCAATGTCGGTGTTGTGACAACCTAAGGAAGTAAGAGAAAGAGGGGTGGGGCAAACCTTGAGCTTGCAATGGAAGAGTATACAGTCTCCCTGACAATGTGTCTTCACCTCCTTCACCAACAGCAAGTTCCAGTACTCCAGCAACACCCGTCCTGCCTCCACCTTCATGACGCCGTTCTGGGAGGACACAGAAAGGCTTTTAGTCATCGCCGTCATCCTGCATTTATTACCACCATCCGTCAAGTCATCAATTATCATTATCATCCCTCAAGTCATCAATTATCACCATCATCCCTACAGTCATCAGTTACCACCATCAATCCGCCCTCATATATTACCATCATCCCTTAAGTCATTAATTATCACCATCATCCCCAAAGTCATCAATCATCACCATCCTGCCTTAAATCATCAATTATTACTATCATCCCTGAAGTCATCAATCATCACCATCCTGCCTCAAATCATCAATTATTACTATCATCCCTGAAGTCATCAATTATCACCATCCTGCCTCAAATCATCAATCATCACCAACTTTAAAGTTAAAGAAACAACATAATAAACATTAATCTTAAAGAAGCAATGTATTAAACGTCAGATTCAAAATTAAAAAATACTGAAGACTGACACGAGGACATACTGTTATTATACGACATGACAAGTCTGTGCCATAATAAATTTAAGGACAGAGAAGTTCACGTTATTATTATAAAAGCTCAAATCCTGTATTGTATTTATTTTACATTTGAGTCAAAGATAAAATAAATACAGTACAGTATAAGAAGATAAGAAGATAAGAAAATAAGGAGTCTGCAATAGGCCGGTTGGCCTGTGCATGGCAGCTCCTGTCGAGAGTTACTACCACTCTATCATCCATGAATCTATCCAGCCTCCTTTTGAAACTTTCCAGCATTCCAGCACTTACTGCAAAGTTGCTAAGCTTGTTCCACTCGTCCACCACCCCATTTGTGAACCAGTTTCTTCCTATCTCCCTCCTAAACCTAAACTTAGTATAGCCCAGGGCCGGATTAAGCTTAATAGGGGCCTGAGGCACAGATCAACTTGGGGCCCCCTACCCTCAAGGTATATATAAATAACAAGAACAAAATATACCCAAATTTATCAATGATTTCATCAATATTAAGCTTCTGCAAAATAACACATTTGATGTTCATAAGAGACAAAAAATTGAGACTTTGCTAGGTCATCGTTCAACGAAGTTCATGCTTTAAATGTATATTAAATAGGGTGGAGACATTTTACCTTAGTGAGGATGAGGATGAGTGGCTTAGTGGGAGAGTTGTTGAGTAGCTGCCATCTTTTGGTATCCCTTGGAGTGGCCAGGCGGGCATACTTCTCTAAAGGCCACGCTCCTATCTTATCCATTGTTGTCCGGATTTAGTCGTTAAATTCAACCAAATTTATCTAATATAATTAACCCCTTGTGTACGGGTTTCCTCTTGAGCTGAATAAAATCATTTGACGTTATCTGTACCTCTATTGTCAAGCTTTCCCGCCATTTTATTATATTATGTTACATGACGCATAGTTTATTATTTTATATACATAGCTTAGTGAAAATATACTAATTAATTAATAATATAAAATGATATATTGTAAAACATTCTATATAAAGCTGAAATATTATATAAATAGCAGATACTCTGGTGATATAGTAAACACACTATGTTCAGGTTTATTAGTTTAGTCATTTATCTCTCTATAACTTATATAATTTATTAGATTCACAACTCTTTGATGTTAAAGTAATTATTTCTAAAAAAAATTAAGTCAAATATTAGTCATTAAGTGTTAAATAGAGATGGAGAGAACATTAACAGGGGCACAGGTCATCAGCCTCACACCCGAACACATTTATGGAGAAGTTTTGGTTTAAGTTTATAACTGAGGAGTAAAGTGTCCTTCTTCAGGTGATCCCGCGTGTGCTGTCCCTGCTACAAGAAACCCTTTATGTAGACTATATATAAAAGAGAGGAGAAGAAGAAACGGCTGACTATGGCGTCCTCTGGCATCCGTATTAAATTAGAGAGAGATGATCCCAGTAAGTCACCATAGTTTGTGTAACGTAATTCAAATGTCTATGAAATGTGTTCTGTACTCTGATGTTCTTCACAATGGGAGCTGGGCCTTAATGAACAGACTACAACATGTACTCACTCTTGTTACTCTGAAGAAACCATTTTTTACTTTATTCTGTCAGATAAAAGATCCAGAGAACAGGAACAATATGAAGTTCATAATCTTCCTCTTACATTACACACTCACACGTGTTGGGTGAACAGAACATACAAAAGGAACACCAAGTTAGGGAAATTTTTACAGGTTGCCCTTACTGGTTTTGGACATGAAGTTAACGTTTTTGTCGTGGTTTTTGATGTTTTAATCAATTCTGCTAGGTGATATGCTATATAAATGACTAAAGGTGGCTCGGAATATCCGTTTTTAACAAGTAAAGAAAAGCCAAAATTTGAAAATCAGAGCCAAGCTTTGGAAAAAGATTATCTAATCTGAGTGAATCACACCAAAACCCATTGGTAAAACCTAGATTTCATCTCAAAATCAGTAACTCTACTAACATAACTGCCATTGTTCAGAATATATACATTACCTAACCAAGGGGGGCTACACCACCAGGACCCCCAACAGAGCTTATATTGAAGCAACCAACCCAAACTAACCAAACTTACCTAACCTAACCAACCAGGTAACATCAACACTGGCCTAGAAAATATTCGATGACTTCCTAACAAATTAAAGCGATTTTCTTGAAAACGAATCATTTGCAACGGAAACATTACTAATTTTTTTTTTATAAATGACAAGATTTACCTGGAACTGGACCCAAAAATACTGTGGGACATTATGGGCAACTTGTAAACTAATACAGGTAGATCACCTCATATCCGGCAATCAGTAATCCGGTTCCACCGCTGGTTCGGACATAATTTGACCACCGTAATTTCAAATTTTGCGCCGGTCTCGCCAACCCCCGCTATTGTTTTGGTGGTGCCACTACAGGACTCGGCTGTTGGCACGGTGTTTGAGGAGCACCAAGTTATTCCTGTGTGTTTCTTCATTTATTATTATAAACTGGTCTTATTCAGCCCCAGTCATGTCTTCATTGAGTAAAGGAATTTATGAAAGAATTTAATATGAGAGTTGTGATTTATGGAGTTGCTAATGCTTGGCAGTCAGTAGAATCATCAACATTGAAATGGATGACATAATTTGTGGCCAGCTTTAATGTTCAGCTCTGCACCTGGTGAGAAATAAATGAATTTACAGGGTTTAGGGTTTCATATCAAAATCAGATTGTACGTGAACTGCTTTCTTATGCTCAAGATCTCAGTAATCCTACTGCGAAGGAAGTTGCATCGAGGCTGGATGTAGATAACATTAACGAGTGGATGGGTGTTGATGATGATGAATCAACTGTTCATCATTATACTGACGTTGAAATTGTTAAGATGGTTGTAAATTCAGAGACAAACAACAGTGGGGGAAAAAGTAATGATGAAAGTGAGAAAGAGGTAGCTGAAAGAATGTCCATTGATAAGTTAGTTGAGCTAACAGGTGAATTGATAAAAGGTCTCGAACAATGCAGTTTTATTACTGAACAGGAAATAATGAATGTTTACATGTTGCAAGAAAAACTAATCAAAGAAAGACCAAAATACATGAAACAGGTTAGCTTGCAGGATATGTTTAGAAAAATAGCAGAGAAATCTGCAAGACAGGAGTCAACACTTCAAAATCCAGTGCCATCAACTTCTGTTCACCCAGATGTGCTGGCACCACCATCACCAGTTCTTGAAGATATGCCAACTTCATCACCAACACCAGATAGCAAAGATTCTATCATCTTTTTAGATGAAACACAAGACAGACCTGATGATCCCCCGTCAATTATTGCTACGAAAATCAGAAGCCACCTTGAAACATTCAACTTAATTCATTCTTCTCAGCACGGGTTCACCCAGGGACGTTCTTGTCTCACAAATTTGCTTAGCTTTTTCTCAGAAGTATATGAAGTGGTAGATAATGATAAGTCATATGATATAATTTATTTAGATTTCAGTAAAGCATTCGACAGAGTCCCTCATGAGAGATTGATAAGGAAGGTAGAAGCACATGGAATAGGTGGATCATTAGTAAAATGGATTAGGTCATGGTTAACTGGTAGGAAACAAAGAGTCAGCATAAATGGATTTAAGTCAGACTGGAGTGCGGTCAAAAGCGGAGTTCCCCAGGGATCTGTATTAGGCCCTCTGCTGTTTGTTATATTCATTAATGATCTTGATTTAGGTATAACTAGTAGGATTAGTAAATTTGCAGATGATACCAAAATGGGGAGAGTGATAAATTCAGACAGTGACTTTGAACACCTTCAAAGAGATCTAGATACCTTACATGAGTGGTCAGTAGACTGACAAATGAATTTTAATACTGATAAATGCAAGGTACTACAGATAGGGAAGACGAATACAAACGTTAAGTATAAACTAGGTAACACGGAAATAGAAAACTCAGATTGTGAAAAAGATCTAGGTGTATTTGTTGGCAACGACTTGAAACCTAGAAAACAATGTATTAGCGTTCGCAGCAACTCAAACAGGATTCTTGGGTTCATATCTAGGAGTGTGAGTAACAGAACTGCTGGCGTTGTCTTGAAACTTTACCTAGCATTAGTGAGGCCACACATGGATTATGCGGTTCAATTCTGGTGTCCTTATTATAGAATGGACATAGATTCTTTGGAGAGAGTACAAAGAAGAATGACAAAATTGATCCATAATATTAGAAACCTTCCATATGAAGAAAGACTGAAAAGCTTAGGCTTGCATTCATTAGAGAGGCGTAGAGTTAGGGGAGATATGATAGAGGTGTTCAAGTGGGTAAGTGGGATTAACAAGGGTAAAATGGAAGATGTTCTGAAGCTCAGTAATAACGAAACAACTAGAACAAATGGCTTTAAATTAGATAAATTCCGATTCAGAAAGGATATAGGCAAGCACTGGTTTGGTAATAGAGTTGTGGATATGTAGAATAGGCTACCGAGTGCTATAGTAGGATCGGGGACGCTAGGGAGCTTCAAGACGAAGTTGGATAGGCACATGGAAGTGCTGGGATGGGTGTGAAAGGGATCTGCCATGTATGGGCCAGTCGGCCTCCTGCAGTATCCCACTTTCTTATGTTCTTATGTAACTCTGCTTAGTTGTACAATCCAACACTTTACTTTGGAAGTGTCAATAACCAACCTTCTGATGTAAGTAAATACAGATAGCCTGTAAGGTATTTTGCCTGTAGTACTTCAACAAATTTCACTTGCTTTTCATTTGTTGTTTCTTTTCTTTTTATTATCCAACTTGTACTATTTACAAGGTATTTTAGAGGTAGGGTGAGGTGGTTATGAAGTGGGTTAGAGGTGTTTATTTATTTAATCCTAACCAAACCACCTGTGGTTCGGCAAAATCACTAATCCGACACTGCTCAGGTCCCAATCAGTCCCGATTTGAGATGGTCAACTTGTACCCCAAGTTATTACACTGAATTTTTTGGACATAATCTTCACTGATGCAGTACATTTGTTTGATACAGTACAGTATATGTTAAACTAGTGGTTTTGGGGGGATTTTCTTTTGGAAAATTGTTCAGTTAAGAATCAGTAGAGTACAATCACAGAACTCTACATTAATATAGTAATTTCTGAGAACAGCACTGACACCAAAAGGAGTTGCACGATTTCACTAATTTTTCCGCAGGTGTTATTATTATAGTAAGTACGTATTGAAAAAGAGGCAACAACCTTTAATTTTAATTCTTTTTTTCTCTCTACAATCATAAATCACCTGTAGTGTGCAGGACATGAAGGATGAGGGAAATTGCAGGGTAAAACATGGTGAAAAACTGATCTTATGACATAAAATGATGTCTATGTGCTTTGTACATGAAAAATTAATTATTTACCATAAATACTCCTCAGAAAAATCTGCCAAATCAGTTTTGGTGACGTCTACTCAGTTTGTTTACAACCGACCTGTTTGGTCTGAGCGTACTGTCAGTACCAGCATTGGAAAAAATCGTGATTTAAAAAAAATCGATTTATTTGATTTAAATCGGATTTTTTTTATTTAAATCAATTTTTTTATGTTTTTACTAATTGCATTAAAATAGTATTTTTAAATCATAAAAACAGTATTTTTCAACCAAAGCTTATTCAGGATAATAAACAGAAAATTGGCATTAAGATATTTGTGCAGTAGATGTACCAATGGAATTTAACACAATAATATTCTTTTTGTAAAATAAAAGAAAACTGGTAACATAACTTACATTTGAGTGTACAAATCCAAACATAATAATGAAATTTAACATAAATGCTCTTATAGGATTACAGTGTTTCTAAAATTAATAACTTAACTTCTTCAAGTCAACAGAATAATTTTCTCATATTGTAAAAAATATAATACTGGTAACAAGTTTATTTTCTTACATTTTTAGGATTATAGTGTATTAAGAATTACCGGTAATAACTTCAAGTCAACACAATATTCTCATTCTGTAAACAACAAAAATAGTTCAAAACATTTAAATTAGCTTAGTTGAACATTGAAATGCTTATGTACTGTGACAAGCTTAGATGCCTTTTCCTGTCCTAGGTGATTTATTACCTTTGAGTGTACAAATCTATATGTGGAAAAAATTCTCTCAACCCCTGCTGATGATGCAACAGCTGTAAATAATTGCCTAGGAACATCCATTACATTTTCTGTCATATCATTGGCAAAATACTGCCACCAAGCAAGAGGTGAGAGAGATTTTACATCTTTACCAAAATAGACCTCTTTAAATGGTGCACTTCTTCCTTGGAAGGACATTAATGTTGAAAGGAAATGCAGAAGAGACTCGCACACATACTGTTCTGCAATGTCTCGCTGCTCGGGAGTCAGATGTCTGCCCTGATACCTTGGATCTATCACATTAGCTAGAAAATGGGCAGGTGTCAATGCTACTTTGATTCTTTTTTCAAAATTATCCATA